AAGAGGAAAAGGAACGGATGGCAAATTATGGCCACCCCTCTCTTGTAAATTACACAGGATGTCTGGATGGTATCTGGGCACAAACCCACCTCCCCCCAAACATAAGGCACCCTAATCAGGAACGTATACGAGCCATCTTTCCAGTCCGATGCAGTCAGTATGAGGGTGAGACAAGTTCGCGGGAAGATGATAGTCTGGATCTGACCAGGTTATCTGTCCAGAATCTTGAGTCCAGTGTGACCACACTTTGCAACTCCAACTTGACAATCAATCACTCTATTTTTCATTGTCATCAACTGGTGACGGGTAGAGAAATTGACGGCTGGGTCGCAAGACGAGGGATGAGAGAATGTGAGGTTGCCAGAGCGAGAGGCATAACTTGAAGAGTAAAAAAGTTGTCTCACCTCCTTAGACTCAGAAGCGCCCAAGTCATGTAACTTTGAGAACAGTGGATGCTGGATACCTGAAGCGAGCCCCACTGCCAACTTGCTCAAACTCTTTTCCTGCATGCAGAGTACAGCATACCGAACTACCACTTACTTATTTCTTAAATTTTTACGGACTTACAAATTAATTTGAAGTGGGATGTTCTTCTCTACCGAAAACTCAGCGCTCCTTTTCGAGAGAGACCTACATATCCCTGAGGTTCCCGTCCAAAATTCACAGAGACCACAACCACACACCTGGTTGATTACATGTGCAGTCCAGATTTACTCCAACAAGCATTCTAGTCATTACATGCACAGACCTATGGAAGTAGTTCCGGCCTCAAAAGGCTCCTTCCCCCCCCTCCTCCCAACCTCTTTTGTTTGTTTGCTTGTTTGTTTGTGTATGTGTGTGTGCGTGCGTGTGCGTGTGCGTGTGTGTGTCTGTGTGTGTGTGCGTGTGCGTGTGTGTGCGTGTGTGCGTGTGTGCATGTGTGCGTGTGTGCGTGCGCGTCTGTGTGTGTGTGTGTGTGTGCGTGTGCGTGTGTGTGTGTGCGTGTGTGAATGTGTGGGAGTGTGTGTGAGTGTGTGTGTGTCTGTGGTTCAGCGCCAAGTGCCCACACACCCGTCTGCCGCCGAAGCAGCACATATACATATATAGTATATACACATATTTAATGGTCCATAAAGGGATGGAGGGCAAAAGGCAACTTAACTAAAACAGAAGACTCCACCAGCAAGAAAGCACCGACCCAATCCCCCAAAGGTCCAAGAAAACTTGGAGAGCCCTCCGAATCCGCCCACAAAACCACAAAATTAATTACACAAACACAACAGCATTAGGACTGTCATTCAGCCCAAATAACTCAATCACATCACCACTATCTCTACCACTCCACGGCTAGACATCCTCCATTTCACTTTGCTGTCCAGCCCTGGAGTGTATAGAGTGCCGTAATCTTCCAAGAACTTCATGCGACAGTAGGAGCGCTACTGCTTAAAACACCCTAAAAGCCCCCATTTCTTCAATGTGCTCCAAAAAAGCAGACCGTGGGTGTGGGTGTGGGTGTGTTTGTGTGTGTGTGTGTGTGGGGGAGGGGNAACCCTTAACTTCATGCTACTCATAGTCACCAACGTTTTTCTGTGCATTCAATTGGGTTCAGACAATTGCACCATATTCTTCCAAGAAAAGCAGGGAAACAGAACGACAAAGAAAACAAAAAAATTGGAGACAAACTACCTTCAACACCTAGCTTTTGGAAAGTGAAAAACTGCCAAGGAGAGGGAGGTGGGGGGCGTAAATGGGGGTGGGGCAATGGGGGGGAAATGGAGGGAATACAGTCAACTGACCCCATCTCGTGGAAAGAAAAACCCCAGGAGATACATAGACACCTTCTCTGTCAACTTGGGATTCTCTGTCAACAGGGTAGTTCCCATGAAATTCAACACTGCTTTGATCACCGATATCGCGTCGCGAGGGTTCTCTCCCAATCCCAAACCTGTTTCAATTTTGAGAAGTCGCCATCACCCAGTTTATCCACTGTCAGTCGGAAATTTGCGAACAAGTGCACAAAACTTCACACATCCAAATTTCAATCTGCAAGCAAGCACAACACCCACAAGAATGATGGACGATGAGAAGGGGGGGGAGAGGGGGGAGGTAGGGACAAGACAGCACATAGACAGGGCCAGGTGATTAGAAAGCAGCATTGTGAAGAGTAAGGGCCAATAGAGCTGAAAACAGTGACGTTCAATTCCACGTTTCCACACTCTGGCCCGCTTCAGATGACAGGCCTACAGGGTTGAAAATAGCGATTTCCCGAAATGAATCAGGCCAGAAAGCACACAGACAGGACTATGTTCTTTTCTTTTTCTTTGAGACAGTTTGTCACTTCGTGTGTTATGTCGTTTTGCAAAGCAGGCCTGATGTTAATATTCTCAGAATTTAAAAAGCTATATCGTAAAAAGGACGGTGGCAAACGTCAATTCGACAATTGCGGCAAATGCCTTGCTTATGCGGCAAATGTATAGACCAATTATACAACACTCCAGGTTGCTTCCCAATGACGGCAGTATCAAGCTACACTCAGTGGTTCTCCCAATCGAATTGACCCTTGATCAAACTCTGATTTGCATAGCTGTAACGTACCACAGAGCCACAAACAGAACTATCACCAATGCCAATGCTCCACATGCTGCCACTGCCATGGCCAGCCGACATACCTTTCCATCACAGTGTATACATGAGACAAAATTGCAACATTCCTCTCTGCGGTCCAAAACAGGACAACTGCAAGCTCGATTCCCAAATGAGGCACCGACAATGCGGGTAGCCCCCGAACTGAAACCAGTGAAAGACCCTGCTGGGACAGTCTCACCTACTAGTCCTGGATAGCTTAGTGCAAGGGATGAGGCGTTTGGCCAGGAATGGAAAGGGCCTGCACCTGCTGGGAACTGTCTGCGACCGGCCTAAGTGAAGGTGGGACCCTGAAAAATTCGATGAGGCCTGAAATGAGGCCAACGTGGGTAGAGGTGGCCTCGTGGGTTGGTTGCTGCACGCAGCACCTCCAACCACCCGATAGGCCCGATAGGTTGAAGATGCTGGGGCCCAGCAAAGATGCTGAGGCCCAGGGCAGTTACAGTTGGGCCCCACGCACATTCTGGAAGGGCCCTGGGCGCAGCTGCTGGGACAGAGACCGAGCTTCCAGAGCCTGCCTCGCCCAGCAAGTCAGGCGCAAAAGGAAGTGAGCTCACTCGCTTCTCACTCATGCCGGCTGGCTGGGCGGCAGCAGCGCTGTTGGAGCTGTGACGTGCTGGGCGCTAGTCAGGCTGAGTGGAAGGGTGCTGGCGGGGCGCGAAATAGAAGCTGCGAGTGCGCAGCTGGTACACAAGGCAGCCATAGCCAGGCTGCCTGCGCCATAGCCAGGGAGGTCAAAGCGGTGGTCCTTGGGTGAGGGACGGCGGCGTCGGGACGAGGGATGAGTGGGGACGCTCACTTACCCGGTGATGATGGGCGGGTCGCCATGGCCAAAGTCTTCATTCCTCATCGGCCTGCTGATCTTCATGAAGACCTGTTGTCATGGTCGTAGAGTCTAGGAGATAGGAGCTGTCTGATTGTAGTCTGGGTGCTGAGCGCCATACAGGAGACCAACATTGGGGACATTGTCGTTGGAGGCAAGGAGAGGGCTTTCGTTGTGAATTCACTTCAGCCTTTGCTCTTATTTGGCATAACTCCTGTGCAATCTGCTTTCAGTTCAAGCTCGTGACTATCGGGATTTCTGTGGGATGATGCAATTTGGCTCCTGTCATTCCCTCTGCTCATTTTCCTTGCATTAGCACATCATCCTTCACAATACCTTCCACAGAAGGAAGACCATTCAAGTACGAAGGCAAATCATCACAGCGAGGTGTACATCAATGCCCATACAAGGGAGGAATTTGGAAGCAGCAAGGAGGCACTACCAATGTCAACACCTCATTGACGCAAACACAACACCATAACCCCATCCTGTGTGCAATCCAAGACCCAGCATGCATCAGAGTACAGTCCTTCACTCACAAAGTTCAGTGGGACTCCTTCGACGCCGCATGAGGTTAGGAAGGGATGGCAAGTGGAAGAAAGGGGAAGAAAGGGGAAAGAAGGGAAAAGAAGGGGAAGAGAGAAAGAGAGAGAAAGAGAGAGAATGAGAGAGAATGAGAGAGAAAGAGAGAGAAAGAGAGAGAAAGAGAGAGAAAGAGAGAAAGAGAGAGAAAGAGAGAGAAAGAGAGAGAGAGAGAGAGAGAGAGAGAGAGAGGACTTCCAAACATGTCCAAACAAACTGGCGTAACATAATCAGGATGACTAACACTCCGGAAGTAATAATCCCGCTTTGCTTTCCTTTAAAGTTGAAAGTCGTTTTCCTAAGAGAAGTGGGGAAAATGACAGAGAGAGCCCGCAAACTTGCACAAGCTGTTCAGTGAAGGCCAGGTATTCTCTCAAAGCATTCTTTCGAGATTGGATATTCCATTACAAGTTTTCTTTCAAGATTGGATATTCCATTACAAGTTTTTTATCCACTGTCTCGCTGGGAATCGACCATGTATCAGACTGCCTCACTGGGAATCACTTTCACACCAGTCACAGCACAAAGTTATCTCAGTTATTTCAAGGTGAAGAGTGCTTGATGTTGCCATCGACATGCCTGAGGGCAGTGCTCATCTGCCCAATTTCCTCCCAAAGACAACGATAATCAACACAAGAAAGCAGCAGCGGAAGAAAAAGTAGCAGACTGGGGGACGAGAAGTTTGCACACGCATAAGAAACAAACTACTGCAGGACCAGAAAATCTGAGTCTGTGTGCGTATTAGTGTATGAGAGGCATAGATAAGAGTGAAAGAGAGGGAACTTATTCCCCCTTTGACATACTCCACATTCCTCCCAACACAGAAGGCCCTTCACCACACCTTAGGCCTCTCTCTCTCTCTCTCTCTCTCTCTCTCTCTCTCTCTCTCTCTCTCTCTCTCTCTCTCTCTCTCTCTCTCTCTCTCTCTCTCATGCACACAGACACACACAAAAAAAAATAAAAATAGAAAGGCCAGCAAAACAGCAAGTGGGAGCATACACTAATGACTGAGGTGGGCTTAAAGATGGGAAAAAGGATGAGCACCTGTGCTCAGCGCTGATTCTGCTGCATCCACTGTCTTTGTGAGAGCTTCTAACAATTGAGCGGTAGGTACAATCTCCACTATGCACCGGAGCGACAACACAGCTTTCACCACGTTTGGATTGTCATCAAACAGTCTTCGCAGCAGAGCATCCCGAAGAAACACATGCAGCTGCAACCAAGGCCACAGTTGTGCAATTGTGAGAAATTCACTCCAATACAGGCAAGTGGGGACTGCTCAAATCAGTAATCCAAAATGGTCTGTGAGTGCTTAGTAACTACTAATTCCTAGTTGATCTAAGTCAGCCATCATCCTCAGAAAAGTCGAGTAACATGCAAGAATCAATTAAAACCTTTGCAAGAGAATGTTCTCTGACTTCTAAACAGGAACAGACAGAGTAGCAGACCACAGCCATAAAAGCAAAACAACTGAGAAAAAACACACACTGGGACGGAGACAACGTCTTAGATAAAAGAAAGACTTACGGTCCTGGCTCCATTCTATTCTGGGAAGCATCAACCCGTTCCTTTTCCGCCAGCATGTTAAAAAAAAACACAATAATACCCACTGAGTCTCAAGAGCTTCTTCCCATAACGGCCAGAAAGAACCAAGCGACAGCATTGAGTACTGTCTAAGAGGAACGAGTAATTGATCTCTCAACACGTAGGAAAAGGAACAAGTCCCAACTCAACGGGAAAGTATCTAAGAACATATCACTACCGTCTTCCCCCGAAGGAAAGGCACGGAAGTTATCTGTGTGTGTGCAGCCACCCCGTACGGATCTACAATGAGCATGCATCATATTCAACGGAAAACGCTACTGATGTTCCATGAAACGAATTCCGCCGCCTGGTGAATCGGCACGCAAGCTATATAAGGCAGAGTATTTGAGGCCAGGTGGAGCCTTAGCTACACACAATGGAGCAAGTGTCAGAAGACCTGAAACACAAACGTGGCTGTTACCAACACACAACAGATGAGCTTGAGCCTTGATCACAGACACACACTCAGAAGAATCCACAACGAATACATGTCTCAAATGATGCATTGCATCACCCCTTCCAATTGCACACTATCAAGGTTGTAGGCTTCGATGATTACCTGTTGTTTTCCCTCATGATCCTCTGTTTGATCCAGGACATCCCCAAGCTTTTTGATGGCCATTTCCCTTATACGAGCCTGATAAGGAACACAAATGACAGAAACATTGGCAGAATAGCAGCAAAATTAGCAAACCGCAGAGCGTCACCTTCTATATAACCCAAGTCGAACTTTTGAGTGTTCCGTCTACCTGGAGTATTGCACGCTTTGCTCCTCCCAAGGGTCAACCGTGACAACAATCCAGAAATTCCGCCGGATCGTATATGCTATTCCGCACCACAGTGAGGACTTTCTCTACGATTTTTGTCTCTGGGACATGTGATAAGATAAGGCACGAAGCGTGGCTCAAATTGACCATCTTGTAATTGCCGACTAAATGTTGAGAATCAGTTGATCGTGAGCCCATCCAGTGTCGCTCCATCTAAGCCCAGAGTCATATTACCGCAATTACCACGGATAAGTTCATGGCAGTATATTAGGAAGGATACGTCCGAAAGAGCAGAAATGGCACGAAGACAGCAGAACACATATGGGGGGGAGGGGGGAGGGAGCAGAAGAGAAGGGAGTAACGGAAGGGTGAGGGGGGAGAAAAGGGTAAGGGTGAAGGGGCAATAAGGGGTAAGGGAGAGAGTAGGTAATGATTAACGGAGGAAGGAGGTAAGGGAAGGGGTATGGAGAGGCTAAGGGAGGGGTAAGCAAGGCAGTAAGGGATGTGGGTTAGCAAGGGGGCTAAAGGGGGGGGGGGGGGGGGGGGGGGGGGGAGGATGCCGAAGACAGCGGGAAGATGGTTCAAGGGTTGAAGACGAGACGGCCCATGGAAGGAAACCCAAAGAAAATGCAGGGCAGAAAGGCAAAGGCAAACTCACCTGTGGATGGTCGACAGAGAGGTACAAGCTGGCATTGGACTCGACAAGAGGGGCATGCAGGCTTCCATGCAAGACCTCAGAGAAAAACTTGAAGGTCCCTTCCAATCGGTTAGCAGGCTCCTCATCAGCATCTGACCCCTCCAATCTGTTTGCAGCATCCTTCTTTCCTGCATCAATCCCCTGCAGACAAAGTAATAACAATGGCACATAGATTACACTCTTGACTATCTTTGACAGTCACCAATGATCAAAACAGAACTGGTCCAATGATGACAGGAGCAATCAAATAATGAACTCTGCAAAGTCATGATGTCATTATGGCTTTACAGGCCTCCAACGGCCAGGTGCCACTGGTACAAGGTTCATGCTGAGAAAGCATGAAACTCTAGGTTCTTGCAAACTGTGCATGCCTCTAAGGCATGCAAAGCACTTAAAGTTAGTTACTTACCTATGATTGGACATGTCTAACACAAGCACTTCTCATGCATATCCACTCCATTCCTTTGGGTCCCTACCTTGCCAGGGAGGTTGTACAAAACTTATTTGAAAGCCCGGAGAGAGGGAGCACATTTGAGGGCAGATGAGTGTCAAGTGATGCTGCGCGATGATCAACACACAACAAAGAGAGGGGCGGGTGCAGACGGGTGTTGCAAGATGCTTTAAACAAATGGGGCGAGAAAAGAGGAATGCCAGCTGGCTTGGATGCTTACACATATGGGATGAGGGACAGGGTGTCAGATATCCATTATGCTTCCACCATGCATCGTATGTCAGTTGAGTTTGTGCGCAATCTCTCCCATTTCTCGCACATATCCAGCCTCGCAGTCATTACAACAACCACAGACCACCTTATCTGTCTCTTATACACATCTAGATGTGTATAAGAGACAGGCACATGTTTGTACAAGAGAAATGGGAGACAAAGACAGAAAAAGAGGGTCAGCCTAACCCGTGTGGCTCTAGTCGCCTAAGCGGGGCTGCACCTACCGTCTGAATTTGCTTCTTATCATTGAGTTGAGCGATGTCCGTTCATGTGAGATTTGATTGTAAGCTTCTGAAGGTTGCCTCATTACAACAATACAGAAAAAGGAAAAACAAAAAGCCCTGCAGAGGCATAGCCCACCTGATCATTGCTCCCTTTGCAGCGTATGTTTCTCATGACTACGTAAAAAGCACACAGAAGAACTTCTGCATAAGCAGCCCACAAAACTGCCACGGATGCGGCGGACGATTTTCCGACTGCCCGTGTGGACTTCGGTTTTCCGGATGCATCCACCAACACAGAGAAGCGGTCAAAGAAAGAGATTGGGGCGCAGCTGCTCATCTCCCATCCACTGTAGTCTACCTGCCAACACAGCAAAATCATCGCAACAGTCAATCAACAAGTTTCACAGGGTTTCCTGTACCCTACGGAGCTGCATATGCTCTCAAGCCATCCTTTAACACTACCTGGGTATGGTCCATTTTTTTAATCAAATTCAAAATGGCCCTGGCACTGAGAAAGAAACAGATGAATAAGAGTTTTCTATTAGGAAAATGGTGTATAACACATCTACCAGGACGAAAACCAAAATATGGCACCTCATCCTACCTACTCTGCCACTGCTGCACAGATGACTCATGATAGCACAGAGAGGAAGAAGTGCAATTTACGAAAGAAAAAGAAAAGTTTTGGGAGTAGAAGCTGGATGCCGACAGGAGTAGGCGCTTCATGCAAAGCGTGGCTGAATGAAGTTAAATGAACCCATCCATGACAGTCCTTATGGTTATCAGAAGAAGGGGAAAAAAATTCAGTTCATCTGACAGTATCTGGATTCAACCTTGGGTCTGTATTTCAACAGTTCACGGGTTCACCGAACAGATACGGTCCATGAGTACTGTCGTCCTCCATATAGCGCACATGCCACACGGCAAAACCTGGCTGTACTTGGGGTAATTTTCAGTTCAGATACAAACAATAATGCCCATGTGTTGTACTCCGGTGAAGAACGGAGATAATAGAAACAACCCCATACCAAGTGCCCTAGCTCAGCTGGCACAACCATCAACTGTTGAAATACAGACCTGAATTCGATTACAAAGTGAAAACAACTCTGAATCTGCCTGGGCCCGGTTACCTCAAAGATGATATCCCAAAGCCATCACCCTTTTAAAAAGGGGTAACTCGCACACAAAAAATAAAAATAAAAAAAAATTGAAACAACCGCACACCAATAAATGGCAATAATCATCAACGAGTTCCTGTGCCCCTTCCATGCACATCCCACTGTAGTGGACTCATGATTCAAAAATGAAAGGGCATGGAAGACGGGCAGGCCCACACCAGGTTGTGGACTACCTTCCTCCGCCGAATACAACGTACGTCGTAAGATCATTATAGCTGTATTTAGACTGAAACATAGGCAATGATCTACTAAATGTGCCCCTAGAACTATTTTATTAGTTCAGTTCAGGTAGAATCGATTCACGACTCCCGTCAGCTGAAAACGATTTGCATCCTTGCACAGCAGCCATGTGTGTCTTCACATTTCAGGTAGAATCGCTTCACGACTCCAAAAATCAAATGAAGAAGAATAAGAAAAGACAAAGACTTGGGAAAAGAAGATGTACAATGTGACTCTGATGGATGATATAGATAGGCATAGTAATGCTGGGGTTATTAATGGTGGAAGGCAGATGTGACTTTGAGGGTGGGTATAGAATCTATAGATAGATACATGGTGGTTGAAATAGAAACCGTGTAATCTTTGAAGTAGCAATAAAGCTAGGTAGGCTTTGGAGTGGCAGGAAATAGATGATGATTGGACAAGTAGGCCTCAGGAACTACCCCGGTTCCTGCCCAGCGGTGGACTACCCTACTGCATGTCTGGGCGCTACTAGTAAGCCTCCCGGCCAATAGGGTAGCCCAGTGGGTGAGGGAAATGATTGGGGTGGGAAGTGCGGTACAGCTTCCCCCTTGCTTAGGCGACTACAGCCACAAGGGTTAGGCTGACCCTCTTTTTCTGTCTTTTTCTCCCATTGCTCTTGTACAAACATGCTTGCCGGGGATAAGCAACTGGACTGTAACCCCCCAGAAACGAAGGGGGCTGTGTTGGTTGGAAAAAAAAAAAGAAGAAGAAGAAGAAGAAGAAGAGGAAGAAGAAGAAGAAAAGGAAAGAAGGATGTTCTGGGAGTACATGTTTGTGTCATCCTTGCACGGCAGCCATGTGTCTCTTCCCAAATGGTTCCCGGCATGGCACTCCATTTGCTCAAGGCCACAATAAATCAAATCGTGTTGAAAGATCCCAAGCTCTAGCACTAAGATCAAGCCCCGCAGTCCCCATTGTTGCTCATGGAAAGTAAGGGAAAGCAGAGGAGAGCGGGATAGGAAAAAGGAAAGGAGAAACAAAAGAAAAAAGATCATGGTGGCAAATACTTTTTTTTTTTTTTTGAATCAGCCACTCATCCACCTCACACATCCAGTTATGCACCTGATCCAAGGGGTTATTTAAGGAACTGAGAACATGTGGAGAAGACTGCGTCGCTTACATTTGCAAGCTCTTTGACTGGAAGATCCCCTCCAGCACGAGCATCAATGTTTGCCCACTCCTCCCGTAATGTTGAGAATACCTTTCCGGAGAGCCTAGCGCGTTGTTCTTGCAGAAAAATAAATTTAGTGGGGGGAAAAGAACAGGACACATTGTACACAAAACAGGGACACAAGTCAACACAATATACCACAGGCACGACGCGCTACAGCCAAAAAATGTCTATCAGAGATCAGGGGTTTTCAAACACGAGAAAAATATACTGAGACAAATGTCTACTGAGAACAGGAATCTCATGTTCACAGTGCCACAGAAATAATAGTTCCATGCTCACGACCGCAGGCCTAGTGCTAAGCTTTCACAACCTCACACCTCGACCTGTAATGCAGAACGACTCACTGAACCAGACTTAGTTCACACCTGCTCTCTCTCTCTCTCTCTCTCTCTCTCTCTCTCTCTCTCTCTCTCTCTCTCTCTCTCTCTCTCTCTCTCTCNCCCCCCATAACAAGAACATAGCCCACTACTACTGCAGATTAGCTTACAACCAGCACAGATTACACAACAACAGAAGGGATGTTTTTGTTACAATAACTTCAAAACGTCGTTCCGATGTTCGTGTAGGTTACAGGTTCAGCATGAAACATTACCTTCATGAAATTATTTACTGCTTCATCCAGTTGAAGGGGATACCTCTTGTCCAGCAGGGAAAGCACTCTGCGTACCATTGCTTCTGCAAATCAACCAAACAGTATGTCAATACTCTGGCTGTCAGCTTCCTTGCCTCAATGCTGCTTTTGGCGATGGCATGCAAGTCAGTTCAACTGAAAGAATGGCCAGCATAATAAAGATAGTGAAAGTTGAGTGTGAATTACCACTTCATTTTGATTCCTTCCTCTGCTTGCTTGTGCCCACCTGTGCCAGCTTTCACTCCATCAATTATCACCCCCCTTACAACGTTGCTAAGGCCAATAAGCTTTCTTTCCGACCTCTCAGTTAAATGGGGCGGCAGATTCATGTAAGCTGGAGGAGGTCCCACTAAAGCTGTCCATATTCATAAAGCAGAGCATGAACCTGGCTACAAAAGTTGCCACACTCAATGATTCATGTTTCTCTAGCACAAACATGGCACTAGTGGGCTCATATACTATTGGGCCCCTTTCCGAGTGTGCTGCTTCAAAGAATGCACATCCTATGGGGGCACTTATCATGTCTTCGACTTCAAAACATGCTGCCGCAGTCTATCATCGCTTTGTAAAGCCTTACGGCTAAATAGATTGTCCTAACAACTGCTAACACTCAGAGTTGAATTATTGTTGGGGGGACAAGAATACCGAGGGCGACGCCACACTCGTTCTGTAAAAGGGCAAGCGAAATCAGGCAGCGAGAATGCAAACTCAATTTGAGGGACCAAGGAAGCCACAGCCTAGGGTGAGAGGTATGCAATGAATTGCAGGGAGATGCGGGCTGTACACTAATTTTGTTGTTGCCTGTTTTGTGCTTTCCGGGATTCGATCCCGTGACTGGTATTGTGTGTGTGTGTGTTTGTCTGTGTGTACACTAACTGTGTTTGTTGGTTCCCTGTTTTGGGCGTTGGAGGACTTGAGCCCGTGACTTGTAGTGTCTTTGTAGTGTGTGACTGTTTTTGAGGTTTATTGGGCTTGAACCTTGAACCTGTCGCTAGTAGTCTCTACTTCGTAGTCTTAGGCCACTCAGCCTTGTTGTTTTGTCCTTTTCTGCCCTTCTGGAAACTGGTAGGCCCGTAGGTATTTCTTTGTGTGTCCTAGCCTTGGTTCCCTTAGTCTAGGATTCCATCTAGATGCATGTAGGTAGATCTTGACTGTTGGGCCGTAGATGTTTTCTGTTTGGACGGTCAGATAGGTCTGTAGGTGGTTACTGTGTTGTAGGTCTAAGGAAGTCGGGTAGAAGTAGGCAGGGGCCGGGGAATTTCGGGTTCTGCTTCGTCATTTTTTTTCACAAAGTGCTGCTGGAGGTCGCGGCTGGAGCTGCGCTAATTCAAAGTGCCCGTTCGTCTTCCTCGTTGAAGGGAAGTTGACGGCCATAACTGGGCTTACCTGGCTGGTGCGGAATTGGCCAAGGGACATCAGGCCCTGCTCTGCGTGGTGCTTCCTCCATAGCTGTCCTATTGGGGTTTTGACAGCTGCCATCGAAGCAGCTTCTCTATGCCTGCTTCGAAGTGGCAGATCTTCATCTTCATCGATTTGCTGCTCTTCTTCATCATCCTGGGAGCTGCGCTCCCCTGCTGAGTGGACACTTCATSTGCAGTGGGCTTCTTGAGTGGTGCAGAGGGGTGTTGGATTTAGGAGGGTGTGTGGCGATTGGCAGGCTTGATAGGTTGGGTGCCCGCAGGCACCATAGCTAGAGCTTGAGGAAGAGGGAGGAAGAAGAAGACTCCCAAAGTATTCGATGAAATCTTGTAAATAATTGGTCCATGGGTGTTGATAACGTGGTTGGGATTCTTGGAACAAGTATTCTGGATTGATTGGAGGAGGATGAGGGATTGCAGAATTGAAATTCGTTTGTCAATTCTCTGTGTATTTTGAGCTTCCGCTGTGCATATCTCCTCTCTGGTTTTGTGTGGATTTGCCTCCTTCGAGTCTACTCTGAAATTGCATGCGTGTATGGGAACGTGTGAATTCGTTGTGGATTGAAGTTCAATCGGGTATATAACAGGTAAAGCAGGACTGAGAGGAACTTACCTGGACTAGATGCAGCTCTCAACCTAACAGTCCCTCATCTGGATGCTTGAACGCCGCATTCCTTCCCCCCCAACCAGCCCTGATTTGCATGTGAAATTGTGCAAAATGTAACTCACTCGAGGGTGCATCTGGGTCGGAGCTATATGTCGCAGACTGCGCCACTTCGTCTCGGAAGAGGGATTCGAACCCCCGACATGCGAACTGTGCAAAACATAGCTCTTTGGTGGCCTTTTTAGGCAAACCTAAGGGTGTGGCTCGTTCAGAGGCACGTTTGAATCTGTGCGGTAGAAAACATAGTTTCTGGTGTTGTTCTTAGGCAAATCTGATGTTAGACATCAGTTTACAAGAAACTTGACTTCCTAACAAGCCATTTTATTCCGGAGCATAGGCCTGAACTTGGTGTGCTGGGATCTGATATCAGAAGCTCAATCATATCATAGGGATTTGTGGGTGTGCAAATACTTACTTGCTTTGCCTTCCTTCTTTTCAGTGCTGATCGATAGATCAGCATCAGGCATTTCTTCAGCATCTTCATCTTCCTCATCACCACCCTGCTCCGTCAAGCAGAGATTTACAAGCTCCGACGTCAACAGCCCTACTTGGCTTTCCATTGGCAATTCCTTGATCAGCCCAATCAGCTTATCTTCATACTTTTTCTGTTGTGCACTGCACAGGGGAAAAGTCCGCGAAAAGATCATAAATAAACCTTTCTGTCAGAGATGCGGAGTACACAGGACCGATGCAATTTGCAAAATGCCTACAACACCACAGTCTACGTTCAAACACAGACACAAAAAAAAGAGGGGGGGGGGGGAGGAAGCAGAGAGAGCTCGGAGACGGATAAAAGAGTCTGTGACATGTAAGCAAACAGGCATCCAATCAAAAGTGCCAACTTTCAGCAGAAAATTGTTGTGACAACAATGTGATATGAATTTACTACGCTATCGTCTTCACCCGAATAGAACACCCGGTCGTTATCGCTGCATCTGGACCGAAAGTTGTGCCAAATACAGCTATAATGACCGGGCGTTCTATTCGGGTGAAGACGGTAGTTTCTTCCCTCAATTTTGCCACCTCATGCTAGCTACCTATATACCTCACGTTATCTACCCACATATATAGCCTGACAGAACTCCACATCTATGCACCGAAGGGGAAACTGACTATGTCTATCCACTCTGCTCTATGCAGGAAGTGGGACCTAGGCTCATAACCCCTAGTGAGGGATGGCAGGAGTTCTGATTCCTGCCAAGGCTAAGACCAGCCAGGGGGTGCAAGCCAACTATCTAAGCTGGTAAACACCAAAGCCCACCACAGGATGTCGTGGCAAATCGAAAGGAAGACATGGGGAATCGAACCCGCGACCTCCTGAATGCCACTTGCGTGCTCTACCAACTGAGCTAGGCCGCTGGCCCTATAAAGTCAATATAAGCTATTCACGTACATGTAAATTATGATCTCTGTGTTCATAAATGCACAACTGAATGCAGCAGAAACTGACCTAGCCACAGCGTGACAGTTCGCCATAGGAGCATTTAAAGGAAGACTCAGGAATTCAGGAACGAAGATTAACAGCTTGATGGGAAGGATTTAGAGCACCACACTAAGGAAACAGTGCGATCTTCAAACCAATCTTTTGCAGCAGTACTTCCGGAGCAGTCTCCAGGTACTAATTTAGCAGCCGTGTTCAGCTGACGTTCGCGTTAGCTGACGATAACCGCTGCCACGGTTTTGTAAGCGAGAACGGTGGATCTTGGGGTTGACGGAACATACGCAGGGCGGTGGGATGAGACGTACATGATGTAACTGCGTCTAATCAGACTGCGTCTAATCAGACATCCTGCATCGCGGGTCTTTGCTTCTGTCATCTTTCCGAGTGACTCTGCGCATCTCACCTCGTGTGTTTGTGCACCTTGTATTGCCCTTGCCCCCTTGCCCCCTTGGCCCGCACGCAGACGAGGACATCACTTGTTTCCTAGAAACCTTAAAATCACCAGTCCCTCCGGAGGTTCAGAAATCGGACTACCAGTATGGACAGGAAGCAGAAAAAAAATGGGGCAATGGGTAGCAAGAGTAGGTGCAAAAATGACGTGATTAAGGCACGCTGCCTTACATGGACAAGGGTATCACTTCTCGTTTTGAAAACCTGAAGTAAGTGCAAGGCCTGTTGGCACAGGGTTTTCAATAACGTGCCTAACAGAATGGGCAAAACAGAGGGCAACCTGGCCGCAGGGCGGAGGGTAATCCGAACACACATTTGAAGGCAGTCTGAAGATGCAACCTAGGGCAATCTGGGCACAGAATGGAAGAGAATCTGAACACACAACACACAACCTAAGGCAATTTCAGTGCACAATCGAGGGGAATCTGCGTACAACTGAGGGCAATATGAAAACAAAACTGATCAGCAATCCACAAACACGACAAGGGGAAGCTCAACACACAAGTGACGGCAATCTGAATGCACAAGACAAGGTACCCTGAACACACCAGATGGGCAATCTAAACACACAACGGAGGGGTTTCGTTGTCTTCTGTTAGCACCACCACTGGATGACAACCAGGGAGGATACAATGAAACGCGCCAGTACTTGGCCCATACATCGGCCACCTGCCCTTATCGTATAAGCGCCGTGTTAAGAGGGCTTCGGGGCTACCTGACACAATGGCTGGGGTTGCCAAGCAAACAAAAAAAAGTTGTGCTGGTGGTTGGACAAAGCTTGGCACGCACGGCGTTTCCATCGGCCGAGGAAAGTGCCTAGAAAGGATTAAGTAGAGCCTCAATGCAAAACTGCCATGGGTAACTCATCACACGCATTCATGACAGATGTAAGCAAATGATACGTCTAACCCAGGTGGGGGCAGCAGAGTGTGCAGGCAGCAGAACATCCGCATCCCTAGTACGAAGCACTTGAAAAAAAAGAAGGAAAAAAAATGTGGCAGTGTATATTTCCATGTTCTCGCTGAAGATTCATTCCGATTTTCCTCATCCTACACACACACACACACACACACACACACACACACACACACACACACACACACACACACACACACACACACNCACACACACACACACACACACACACACACACACACACACACACACACACACACACACACACACAGACCGACATTGCCACGCTTCCTGCCCTGTATAGGCAGGACTGGGGCGTGGCTTCGCCGCGCAGGGTCCACTTGTTCTTATAAAAAAGGGGTAGCACCTGACATTCTTCACCGTATTCAACAGAATTCGAACTCTTGATTTGTCTGTCAACACTTCCACATGATTCAGCAGAAAGACAGGTGGCACTTTCTAAACCATAACTTCTTTCGGATCATGGGCATACAGCAAGCCAGGTGTGTGCCTGTCAGTTTGCATCAACATACGAGCATGACCATCTTCTGTATACCATCAGGCCTTTAGTTGTGCGTTGTATAGCTTGATACATCCAACACCAGCTGACAGAAGTCTCAAAACCATATAGCCATATGGGAACACACGCTGTTATGGCCTACAGTCACAAAAGGTGTTTTTTTTTTTTTATGGCTCGGCAAAACAGACACATCCAGAACCCAAAATTGTGGTTTCAACTTCCACTGACATACCGATGAGCCACAGAAATTAAGAGTGCTATCACCATCCCCCAAACACAATGTACACTAGATGAGAATGTATCGAAGGTTTTTGTCCGGTCTGGTATGGTTATATAAATGAGGGTGTGTTGTGTTCAGGGGAGCATAATAGTCGTTCGTTGTACTTTTCTTTGTGTTTTGATCGAAACTGCTGACAGCTGCAAAATTTTCCTACCATGTCCTACCTTTGCTTGACAAGGAAACGAAGCAGATGTGTCATAAAGTTGGAGGCCTTGAACACCTCTGATAAGCTTGCAAGCTCAGCAGAGAACTCCCTGCAGACATCCAATATAAAACGAAGAAAGTCAAATTCGTCAACCGATATTTTTTTTTTTTAAGGAAAAAAGGGGATAAGTCCCTATCTTCATTGTGTCCAAAAGGGGTTTGACTCTTCACCCGTTTATCAACAGCTACCCGTGGTGTCCTACAGGCCCATCTTCCCTTTGCAGAACCACCCTGCCATTACAGTTCTGATCATATCTTACTTCCAAATTGCATTAGAGAACACGCAACGTACGAGATATCTCGTATACAGAATTTGAACGCTCGTAACATCACATACTGCATGCCAGTTGCACCGGCATTCCAGCCCCTAGCCCACAATCTGCATATTTATATAAGCGAATGCAGTCAGGTTCAGCCTATCAGACGAAAAACGATGGCGGACCCCAGTGGGCCCCAGGGTCAGGCAAGACCAAGCATCAGGAAAGAGAGGCTTGGTGTACTAGCAGTTTAAGAAGTTCTCTCTATGGGTACTGTCTACAAAATCTCTTAGCAGGTCCGAAAAAAACCACCATCACCAACTCTTCTTCTTCTTCTTCTTCTTCTTCTTCTTCTTCTTCTTCTTCTCCTCCTCCTACTCCTCTTCCTCCTCTTCCTCCCTCAGTGTCTTTCATTCAACTCAATAGGTCATTTTCTCATTTATTCATAAGTTTTCATAGCTAACGAGTTCTAACAAATGCAGGAGCAAGAGAACAAGCAAGTTAAGTTACTGAACAGATAAGAGAGCAGATGAACTGATCAAGAAGCGAAACACCTGGCAAACAGATGAACAGAAACAGAAAAACAGACGGAAGCAGAAAAACAGACGAAAGTAGCAAAACAGACAAAAACAGCCAGAGAGAGCAGTGAATGAATGGACGAACACATGAGTGCAGATTTCTTCAACCCCTCAAAATTTCTGTAGCGGGACCTTGTAGCCCATTGCCGATGGCACCCAACCATTCGCAAAACCAATTATTTTACTTTTTATTGTTCATTTGGGTGCCTCATCCTTGACTGTGCAGGGGCCAAGCTAATTAGTATTCTCTGTATCGTTCCAATGTTAACAGCTGTCCTAAAGGACCAGAACCACATTTCATGATGTCATAGGCTGGAATGATCAGCAATGACTGAAGCAGGATATTCCAGATAGGAGTTTGCATCAACATCAACATACAACAATAGAAAACAGCAGGTTTGACTTCAGTCACATTGGCGAGCAGACCCTAAACCCTAAACCCTAAACCTGCCCACAGCATACATCCAAGACCGCACACAATTGAACTTCAACTGGTTGACAATATACGTCCACGAATGCACACACTGCATGTTCATGAGACTATACATCCATGAGTACATGCAGTTCAAGTTCACGACAGGATTAGCAAGTTCTGGATATACCTTCTCGCTAAATCGATCTAATGCGACAGGATAGGAATGGAGGAATACTCCGAAATAACCTTGAAACTTTTGCTGGCAGAATATATTAACCCTTGAAACTGTTGCCGGTAGAATATATATCACTCTTTAAAACCTGTTGCTGGCATAATATATCAACCCTTGAAATTGTGGTTGGTAGAATATATGACCCCTTGAAACTGTCGTTTCTTCCATGATGATGGGATTGTAGTTCGATTAGGTTGGACCAGCGCCCTGTCAAGGCGAAAGGTGCAGGTTCGATACCCGTATGTATGACCCCTTTCATGGTAAAACATTAACACTGAAACAGTAACATTATATGGAGCTATAGATTGCATGCGGGATTCTTTAGAAAAAAAAAAAAACTAGGCTACCAGAGTGGCCCGGGGCCACTTGCCCGGCCGGGCCAAAAAAAAAAAACTTTATTTTTCATTAAAATTTGGTAAAGAATTTCGATGTGACCCTGAGGCAAAAGTTGTTCAGTTTATTTTTCTGCAAAACAGTTTTTTCGTTTTTTTTTTTTTTTTTTTTTTGGCTAGGACCTTCCCTGGTCCTTGCACGGCCAGGCCGTCCGGGAGAATAGGGTGACCCGAACGGCCCGGCTGGTAGCCTAGAAAAAAAGAAAGAAAAGAAAGAAAAAAGAAAAAAAAAAAGACAACAGGTCCACTTGGACCTTGGCCCGGTACATAGAAACCCACTCATGACGCCTCCCCACGTTAGAGCCCGAGCAGCCCTGACAGCATTTGATTACTTCCTGCGGAAGGATTGACTATTGAGTAACCAGCATAGACCGCAAGAACTGCCCCCAAAGCAAAAGGATATTCTATTATTTTCTCCATGATTGTGTATCTGTATAAGACAACACACATCTCCCTCACCTGATTTTGAGAAGCGCCTTCATAACTTTTCCAGGGAAGCTCCCCATGGGCTGGGTCTGCAAAAAAACACGAGATAGATATCCACTCATGAGCTTGCTGCTCGTAAGTCGTCACTGCCTGACTTGTTACCTTTCTTGGCCACCACTACTTTGGAGAGGCCAACAAGGATTCAACACAAGGAAGAGCAGCCCCACAACAGTGCTATACGTGTACTGGCCTGGTTCCTGGGTTTGACTCCTAGGACCAGGCCCACCCATCGCTTCTATTCATACTCTGACTGTAAACAGAACTGCTAAGGAGGACTGTTTTAGTGATTGCCAAACAAACAGCAGCAAAGTCTTAAAAGTGATGACAAAGCCCAATCCATACCCACACACACATACGCAAGACAACGGGGCAAACATATAGCAGATCTTACTGAGAACAATGAAGCTGAGCCCTAGCAAGGACACACAATGCTGCAAGACTAAAGGTTAATCGGATCGGGAACGGGAACGGGAACGGGAACGGGAACGGGAACGGGAACGGGAACGGGAACGGGAACCAGAACGGGAACGGGAACGGGAACAGCAACGGCGACGGGAACGGGGAAGGGAACGGGAACGGGAACGGGAACGGGAACGGGAACGGGAGAGGGGAGGGGAAGGGGAGCAAAGAAGGGTTTCCTAACTAGGCATAACTACTTCCATTTCTTTGATTGATTTACGGGCTGTCAACCATTCCCACTTTCATCTTTCAAACCTTGATTGATATCTTCCTGTCAGAAAAGAGAGCGCAGTGAGTCACTGTCTGATATCGTAGTCTATTGCAAGTAGGCCTACCAACCTGCGTGATATGGATGATGGCCATGAGGGCCTCTCTTAGGAGAGGTGGAGTAAATGTCCCTGCACTCTTTGCCTGAACAAGCTGCGGCATCTTCGAAATGTTCTTGATGAGTGATGTTGCCAGCGGCTCCGACAGTGTTGCACGACTGGCCAGCTGCACTGATGCCATCAATGCTCCAGCCTGTTTGTTGATTGATGTTACACAATCACGACACATGCGAATACATATGATTAACTTCTGTGCAAAGCATGTCAAAAAAGCGCACTGACGCAAGCTGAGTTTGTTCCAGGCTATATTTATGCATAGACGGCTATCACTTCTTAAACAACGTATACTTTTTTTTCCACATTTGACGATCATTTCGTAGATTTATCAACTCAGTACAGTACATTCTTCCATCAGTGCTTCTCTTCTTCCTTCTTTTTATAAGCATGTGATTTGAAGCTGTGAACATGACTTACTGAGTACTTTGTCTGCTGTACAAGGTTTATTTTCCAATAGACATTTGACTTTTGTTCACAATGTCCGCTGCTCACGACTATACGACAGCCAACTTGATTCCAGCATCTCCATTACACAGCAGCATATATGGAATATTGAAATTCTGAGCAGCCCGGCAAACCTACAGCTGCCGAGATGGGCAACTGGGTCGCTTAGAACACATCCATGACAATTCATAACAATGATATGAAAAAACCTCTTCCGTCGGAAACGAACTCGATCACATCCCCTCGTACCTCTGTTGCCGCCAACCCACAACCCACCCACACACCACCACCAACCACCCACCTACACACCGCCAATGACCCACCAGCACACCACCACCAAGCCAAAAGCCACCCAACCCCCGCCCACCCACACACCACCATCACCCGATCGCCCACCTGCATTTCTACAGAAGACTCGTTCTTGAATCCCTCCAGAATGAAGGGGGGCATATGAAAGACTCCCTGTTCCTTCTTTTGCAAGCAACCAACCCACCACTACACACACACACACCCCACCCACCCCCAACCCACCCGCAACCCACCCACACACCACTACCACCCACCGCCCACCCACCTGTATTTCGACAGAAGACTCGTTCTTGAATCCCTCTAGAATGAAGGGAAGTATACGCATGACCAGTGTCTCTGACACAGAATTGACAGCTCCAAGGACCTCCATAGCCATCACCGTGGAAAAGGACACAACAGTGTGGCTCTTAACTCCGGCAGCTGAAGCAACATTCGCCTGTACATCATCCACAGATCCCGGACCAGTCAACCGACATCAGCAAAACTTTTCACAAGCATCTCAATCTTTCTTCTGTTCTTTTTTCTTTCTCACAAAAGGGGTAGGCCCTCACATTATTGCATTCAACACGATTCGAACTCTTAATCCATTGGTCAGTGCTTACATGTATGTACCATTCCGCCACCTGGCAGGTGAAAACTGTGTGTCTAGCTCTCAAACTGTCCAGTGCTCAAATCCAACATCCATTCACCCCCGCCCCCCCCACCTCCTTTTCTCCTCTTCAGGAGACATTTGTTTATGGCTGCACCTGCACCTTTCTTTCCACGAACGGGAGTAACGCGACAGAGTCAATTTCCCAACTTTCCATTTTAAAGGAATATATATGTCTGCTTTCTATCTTGTTGAAAAAGCAGCCGAAGATTTGAGCACAGGATTTGAATTCTGTTGAACTCTTAGCCTCTTGATTTAGAGCTTTTGATGTGTATCATTCAGCCACCAGGGTGAAGATACAAGTTGGCTCGATTCTACCCAAGTCCTCTTATGCAAGAAATGAGCCCTCGCAGGGCGCTTGTCAGCGATGCACGTGATCTGGGCTGAGGCCCCCAGCAAGCCCTGTGCCCGCCCTGAGTGAAGGCGGGTCTGGATATCCACGCGAAGCCGAATTTCGACATTTTTCCATACGTGGGTACTCAGACAGTTGCAGCACGCCAGTTGGTTACAGAGAATTGTGAGCCCTCAGGCTCTTTCCGGAAACATGGGCTGCGCTGTACAGTTGAGCCCAGCCCCCGGGTGGTTGAGCCCTGGGCACACGCAGTGTGAGGCCGACACATCACGCAGCGGCCATGGACAAATGAGAAGGCAGCATTGTCGTCACACCTGGGCCGTTAGCCAACAAGGAGGCAGCGAACACTTGGAGGCTGCGGTGGCTGCCTGAGAGTGCCTACCCGCACGAGGCCCGGGTTGACATTGGATACAGTGTTGGTGTGACCAGAGAGTGGCGAAATTGACACCCGAGTTCATTGTACTGCTCTTATTTGGACGGTATCTTGGTGCATTGCACTCTCTGCTTGGTTCATGACTATCTGAGCTTCGTCGTGATTATGCATCTTGGATTTCTGTCTGTCGTTCTCGCTCATATTCCTTGCACTTATTTTACCTAGTACAAATTTAAGTTTGCTCCATTGTGATCATCAATTTCTTTTTTCGTTTTTTTTGTCCCCTCTGAGCCCTCTCTGATTTGGCTGAGTGTGCAGAAGAGTCCCCTTCCTCTGTCATTTCAAGCCAATCAGCACCACGTGAAAACTATTTTACACGCCTCTCTGCTTTCACAGAATCTACTTTTTTTTCCTTTTGTGTTTACATTGGACCATTTCTCGATTTATGTGTGTCATTCTTGCGCAGTGGCCATGCTAATCTTCTCTGTATCATTCAAATTGTAACGGATGTCCCAAAGGACTAGAGAATATACACCCATCACCCATGCTACCACACTTTAAGACCAGGTACACTGGACCAAGGAAGAAACACAGCATGTACTTTCCTGAATGTATTGTGACTTCAATTACAGCCAGATTCAACCGACAGAGCCGGACTAGAAGTAGGTTGTACTGCTTTGTACTACAGCCGCATGTCCGCGGAAGATCAACAAAACACAAAAAAATTATAATTTTCCCAAAATATTATAAAAGCACTGCAGTCCTTCGAGGACATCCGTTAAAATTATAGCGATATAGAGAAGATTCACAAGGCCCCTGAGCGAGGGTGACATGCATAAGTTGAGAAATAAATGCACTTGTGATAACCCGTCCAAACCTGGACTGAAACACACAGCTGATTTCTGAGTTTTGCTCATAGACTGAATGCCCTACTGAGTTCCCCGCCTGCTGAGTCTGTGTGCGTGTGTGCTTGCTGGACTGCATGTCTGTCTGAGTGCTGGTTGGCTTGCATGTGTGACTGTGCCTGTCTGAGTGCTGGTTGGTATGGGTGTGCGTGTGTGTAGCCCGCCAGGGCGCTTGTTCGTTCGTTGGGCCCTCAGGGCCGGTACTTACCTGTGGCCGTGGCTTTGAAGGGTTGCAGCAGGGGAAAAAGCACTCAAGTAGCGGGTAGGCCGGTACCGCACCCGGTAGGGGGGTAAATATGCAGGTACCAGAGGCCGACCAGAAGAAGACAAAAGTGGCATTTTTAGAGGCCGGTAGTGTAGGCTAGGTCTAGCGGGTACCAGTCTGAG